TATTTTAAGTAATTTTCTTAAAGAGCTTCACTATCAATAATAATAAATAAGATTTTAATAGCAATGAGAGTTAATTAGAAAAGAATACAAGAGGAAAGTTGAATGCATGGCAGGCAAATGAATACTACCTTTCAGGTTGGGCAGGGATGGGTTAAAGTTGTAGCTTAGTTCTGTTAAAATACAAAATTATTTGACCAATATAAAATCCAGTTGCTAAAAAAATATATTGGGTCAGAACAAAAGTTTGTAGCATTTTTAACTGAATTTCAAAGGCAATATTTAGATATCCATATATAGTCAACCACATATATGCCATTTTGTTCCACTAGCATTTGTCATCTTTAAGGCTGTCTCAGTATTCAATCCTCTGAAAACTTTGCCTCTTTTTGGGTGATGAACTGGTCTAAGTGATTATTACAGGCTTCCAGAGAAGTTAAGTTTTTCACCATTAAAAGGATTTTGTCGAGATCAAAATAAGTGATACTCAGAAGGACAAGGTCAAAGGAGTACAGCAAGTGCTGTAGGACATTCCAACCAAGTTGTATCAATTTCTGCTGGGTCTTCAGAGATGTGAAGTCTGACATTGTCCTGATGAAAGAGAACATAATTGTGAGTGGTCAATTTAGGACACTTTTCACTGATTTCTCCTATTAATCATTCTAACTGGAAAAAGTACTTGTTCAAGTTCAAAGTCTGATTTTGAGGAAGGAACTTAATGCCTTTCCAATCCCACTAGACACATAGCATCATCTTCTTTGTAAGCAGACCAGCTTTTCAAGGGGGTTAAGGGTGGCTTCTTTCTTTCTTTTTTTTTACCACAGGACCTTTTTTGCTTGTAGTAAACAATCCATTTTTTAAATTAATTTTGATCATTCTTTTTTTTTTCTTTTTTTTTATTGATCATTTTGTTGCATTTGAGCAGATGGAAATGTGGTCCACTTTTTTGATTGATCATTTTTGTTGCATTTGAGCAGATGGAAATGCTGTCCATTTTTTGATTGATCATTTTTGTTGCATTTGAGCAGATGAAAATGCAGTCCGTTTTTTGATAGGCCATTTTTTTGAGCAGACAGAAATGCAGTCCATTTTTGTTGCATTTCAACAGACAGAAATGAGGTCCATTTTTTGTTGCCTTTGGGCCAATCGAAATTCAGTCCAGTTTTTGATGGGTCATTTTTGTTGCATTTGAGCAGATACAGTCTGTTAAATTCCTTTGTTAAATTGTGAGGCACCCAAATGTCCTAGTGATTCATGTATCCAAGTGTTTTCAAACATCTTACAACATTTTTATGAGGATAAGTGAAGTATCTCTGATGTTTCAGGTAATGTGATCTGAATTATTTTTTCATCAGCATTTTGATTTGGTCATCAACAACTGCAGGTCTGCTGGAGTGTTTTCCAGATTAAAATTTCTACTTGCAAACCCAGCAACTAACTTATGAACAATACTCCCAGCTATGGCTCCATTTCTGTAAATGGCACATATTTTTGCTATTTTTACAGCAATTTTCCTTTCTTGAAATAAAAGAGCATCAAATGACAAAAATGCATCTCATTTTCCTCCATTTTGACATTTTATATAAAAACATTTAAAATTCACAATCCACACATCAATCCTATAGAAAAAGGTGTTGAAATGTCACCTTTCAGAATATATATGTATATATGTCATCAATTTCAATCATATGTGAAATTAAATCATGTGTTCCAATGCCACCTATTGAAAAATGCTATGAACTTTTCTCCAACCCAATAAAACTGAATAAGGACAAGAAAACAGAACAAATTATACCACAAGCATAAGTTTTTTTTATCTATTCTATTTATAAAAAACAATAGATTGAATTTTGTTATTAGATGAAGCATTGTTACTTATTAGATTTTAACTCATTACTTTCATTTTAATTTTAGTTGTTTTTATTGCAACTTCTCAGACTGTATTAATGACCATGGCTAAACAGCAGCAATTGAAAATAAAAAATAAGATACTGGCAAGATAGCTACCTCACTGACTAAGTTACAAAAGCCTAAAAGCTACAGAAGTTCAAATCTAACCATACAGCATTCACTTTTTATTTTCCTTAAATACCTGATTGTCCTGGGTTTGATGATGAACTACATCCAGCAGCAAGAACTCTGATCAGGAGATTTTGAGGAGCGTGGAACCACCTCTTAATTGCTGTTGTTCCCAGGCTCACCCTGAGCCAGAGTGGTAGTACCTGTTAGGGTCCCAGCTATGGGCAAATAGTCAACCCCCCAAACTGGGGTCAAAAGTATAAAATTACATTTTTATAGTAAAAATACCAGCAATAAATTTTTTTCAGCCATATATATATATATATATATATATATATAAAATTGCAAGCAATACATTTGACTCTCAACATTCTTGTCAGCATTAAATAACCCACTGAGGTATTGATATGCTGTAAGACAAAATAAACCTAAACCTATCAAATGCCTGATTTACTAACAATGTTTACATACACTAGTCGTAATATTTTTTTTGTATTTTATTGTTAGACATTGCTTTGTCAGTTATTACTTTGTTAAATGTTTTTGCTATTCTGACGAGCATCTTTATTTTTATACTCACAGCTTTTTGGCTGTTGTACTCTCTTGCCTTCTCCATACTTGGTAACCTAAACATTTTAAAATGGACCCTTTATTCAATCCATGGAGTAGATTGTTCATATTTTGCTTTCTCCACTTTGAAATATTTTATATCAACTGGCACTCACCAGTTTCATTCTCCTTTGTGTTGCTCGTTTCTAAGTATATGGCTTTCCAGGACAACCATACCTCACAACTGCCAACACTTTAATCCACTAGGTCATGTATCTCAAGGTCAATCTTTGCATTGACATTCTGAAGTTTTAAACTTGCCATCAGGTGGGTGAACAAGTGTCCTGGCTCACATGGAGGAATTTCTTTTGAGTGTTCTTTCTTGATCAGAATCTCCCATATTGTACTCATCCCTATGCTACTCTTCCTGATGAGGTTTTCAGAACTTAACATGTATGCTGATTCTTTCAGTCATCTTATCCCCCAATATTGTTCTCTGTCTCTTATCTTGACTACAGACTCTAGCAGTATTGATAACCACCCATTTTCCCCATATATGATCAGCCATGTATGATTTCAATGTCTCTCCCTGAGCATTTCCTATGTACCTCCACTTTTACTTTTAGAGGACATCTAGTCTCCTTTATATTCCTTGTCACAATTGCATAGAATATAATATAAACAATTCTTGATCATGTTTTCTACTGAGGGATGGTTAGTTTAAAAGCAATATCTTCAAAGAGTTGAGCTGCTTTTGAATACTATCCTGATGTTGTATGGACTGTAGATCCTTTGACTCTTAAGAAGGAAACCTATATAATTAGATTTAAGGTTCTTGTAACCTAATTAGTAAGGCAGCTGTTACACTAAAAAAAAGACTTTCTGAGGAAAATGGAATGAGAGTCTCATACACTTATTTTTTTGTTTCTTATTCATGCTGTCTACTAATCACTATAGAAGCTACAATAAAAAACAATTGAAATTAAGATGAAAGAAATACTAGTTAAAGATTAATAACCAATGGCTATATTGTGCATACATTTCTTATCAAAGATATTCAGTTAACAAATGTAAAGGTTAAAATTCAAAAGCAGGGAAAAGGGCAGTTACTAAATTATACAGCAAAAGACAATCTAACAAAATTATTGGCTTAATATTAAGAAATACCATAGATATATTAACAAGAGTAGATATAGATCATCTTGGTGAGATTACATAAAAATCATATCATACACAACAAATAAAACAAGGCACTAGTTAATTAATAATTTTTTAATAAATGTTTATATGGTAATGCTACAATTCAGCTTTTTTTTTTTTTACCTTTTACAAATCTTAGTTTCTCCAGAGACATACAAAGTCTTTAAATTTTCCACAGAACTCAAGGGAAATGGAGAAACTAATGTTTGCTAAGGAATAAATGTTTTTTTTTTTTTAAAGTGAAAGTACAAGGAAGGTAAGTAGCTTTTATATAAGATAGTGAGCTGTTTATGCAACACAATAATGGCTAAGATTTATTAAACAAATATGTTAAAAATATTTTTGCAAGGGTACATATTAAAAGAAAAAAATGATAACAAAAAACAAAGAAATGATTACCGTAACTGGTAATATTGAAATGCAACATGATAAAAAAATAAAGTCCTTTCTCATCAGAGTTAAGATCAAGGACAAAAACGTGCACAATGACTAAAATTGAAAACCCAAGGCCAAATGAAAGAAAATATAACACTTACAGATTAATTACCTTTAAGCCCACTAACCACTCCTTCTGCTTACAGAGAGATGGCTGGTAAGACTTAATTAAAATAGATTCCAACAGTTAAATGAAACTCAGAATTAGCCTTGCTCAGTACTGAAAACATCTTGGCTATAAAACTGGACACATTTTTTATCTAATGTTAAAACATTTATTCATGATTGCATATATATTCTGGCAATAAGAGGGAAAAAAATGAAAAAATAATCATAGTTGTATTTTAACACCAATCCAGTTTACAGAGGCAAGTTCCCAGCTTTTCTGTTCAATGACTTCACCATTGCACATTGTCAGTGCAGAAAATGATTAAAACTAAGTAAATATTTCTAGCAGCAGGTAAAAAATGATGGCCTAAAATTGATGAGCATTTAAAAATTAAATATCAGGACATTATTTAGAAGTATATAAAAATTACAGAATATGTAATACCCAATCACTGAAACACAGAGAATAGAAGCAAAGAGATTAGAACAATTAGAAATCTGTAGAAGAATTGGGGTCAAACTGATCATGGTACTGTTATGATCAGCAAGAAAACTGAAGGTGATAGTAGAGATCAATAGGAAATTTGCTTTCTATTGATAGCCACCAGATATTTTAAATGTGAAAATAGAAGAGGAAAAAAAAATTAAAAAAAGGGAAAAGAAAAAAAGCAATTCAAAAAAGTTTCACTTACCTCCAGCATTGATAAGATGCTTCAAAATGGACAAGATTCCAATACGGGACTTTTCATTGTGGCTCTCCAGTTTCTGGAGTAACATACCAACTAATTTTGCAGAAAATGACCGAGCTTAAAAAAATAAGTAAATTTTTATTATTCAGTTTACCAGTTTTTATTGTTTGTATTAGTTTTATACAAAAGAGCAGTACTATTATCCAAGTGCCTTTGAATTTGTTTTTGCATATGTACAGCGTAATTTCTAAGGAATTAATGGATTGGCAAAGCACATACTATACAGTTAGGGAAAGGATTGTTCAGATTGACTTGATGATGTCGAATACAGTCAACTTAATTAGACACTATTTTTTATTACTCTGTTGTGGTAGGATCCACCTAATTTGCATAGTGGAGTACCGACCATATAAATATGGTTGGTACCGGGAAGACGAGAGAAGGAATCAAGAGATTCAATCCAGAGACTCTGCCCAACTGCGACTAAGTCAACCCATTCTCCAGGAACGGTCTTCCCAGAAATATACAAAAGACTATATGTAAATATTGTGTACACTTTCTTGTTTCAATACATTTTGTTCTAAGTACATTTTCTGTTGTATTATTATTCCATGCATTAGTCAAGTTTCAACATACTCTGAAAACTGTTTTAGCGTTAATAGATGCCTTGTTTTTAAAAAGATTGTGAATTATGTCTACCATTCTGTGCATGCCGGAGAAAGAAAATGTGTGTCCCTATCGGAGAGCATGTTTTCTTTGAATGGGTCTCTTGAATGTTGTTATGGTCCAGGTTAGGACCAAGGAAGAACAACACAAACACAAGAGTAGGAATAACGAAGGTATATTACATGAAATAATAATACAAGATATAGAAGGTGTTAGTAAGAGTGTCAGTCTGGTTTGGAGTGAACTACTATCGGCTCGACTCGATTTGTCCCTCTCTCTTGAGAGGCGTAGTATACATAGTGTTAGGAAGAGTTCATTCTGTAGTTATAGGTAAACACCCATGACAAATGTACATATTGGTAGATGCAATGCACACTTAAAAAGTATTAACACAACAACGGGGCATCGGCTCAAACAGACTTAAAGTAGTAGAAAGTATATACAAGTATATCTAAAAAAATAACCAGATACCAGATTCATTTGGTAGGTCACTCACTATTTCCCTCTATCCCTCAACATGTTCTGTGAGTGTTACTTTTCCAGCCCCCTCTCCTCATAATGTGTCCGAGAAATTTCAACTGCATCTTTTTTTTTTAAATTTAATCATGGCTGCAAGCAATGCAAAGTAAAAGTTCACAATAAATATTATTGAATACTTGTTTGGTATGTCATATCTTTGACAGCAAAATGATCAAATTTTAGATCTAAATTGTTTGTCCATTTAAAATACTATATTTATTAGAAAATATATATTCAATTTAAATACAGGAGGAATCCTAAAAATGATTTCAAAGTTTTGCCCACTTCAGCTTATACTCTTTTCCTATTACCCAGAGGTTGTTGCCAGCCAAAAAGGGATTGTGTGTATAAGTACGTTGATATATATGCATATATATTTAAATTCAATGACAGACCTAAAAGTATTTCTACAAAATTATAAAGAAAAGAAAGGCTTTAAAAAATAGATTCTATTTATTACCGAATACCTTCCCAAATCACAATAAAATTTTATAATTATCTGATTTTTTTAGTGTTTAACATTCCTCCCCTACTATCTCTAACTTTATGATTTCATTGCTTAGGAGTTGTCCAGACTGAGTTGGAAGGGGACATATTATTTCAATGTCTTATTTCAAACTCAGTCAAATTGTGTGTTTGTGTGTGTGTATACACATTAAATGGTACAAGAACAAGTCACCCACACCCAATACAGACATACATTACATATGTACATCCAAAGACATGTTGACAGTGTATGACAGACAGAGAACCAGGTCTTTTATAATATAGATTTAGGCAATAGACAGTTAAGCATATTTCATTAAATATGACAAATATTTGTTAATGATTGGCAAATATCTTTGAACAAGTGATGGAAAATTCTGATTGTTCATCGATTCATTTTCTATGGCTTATCCATTCTTTGCAGGTTATTTAAAGCCAGAAAATATTTTTAGATTGTAAGAATATTTTTTGGAAATAATAATGATTTAGTGATATAAGCCTTACTAATTAATCCATAGCTGGAGGGGGAGAAGACGTGGATTCATACCTTTTCCAAGGATATTTACACACGTGAATATAATGAACCCAACTGAAAATGGAATTCAGCTCTCCAACTAACAATTTCAAGCCATTACCCGATATTCCCAAGCAGTTACCCATCTAGCTACTGACCAGGCTCAATGTTGCTTAACTTCGATGATTGTATGGGAACTTGGTGTTCCAATGTGATATGGCCGTAAGCATCAAGTGAGGAAAAAGATGCCTAACATTGTAAATAAACATTCTAAGCATAGTAACAACAGAGCAGTGAAAGTGTTAATTACAGATTGAACATTATACAGCGAAAATTTTAGATTGAAATTCAGTCAATAATTACATAGTAGGATGTAGACAAAGAATATTATATTTATTTTGTTAGATTGCTTGTATGAATGTGAAAAAGAATCTTAACAATTAGACAATACTTACAGATAACAGCAAAACACCTAAGAACCTCGTTGTAGTTTTTTACACTCATTGGGTTTGTATAATCCACTGAAGCCGTGATCTACAAAAAGATAATGTTATTTAAACTTGTGGCAATAATCATTTACTATTTGGCATTATAAAGATTTAGTTTTATGTTTAGAAATTGTTCTAATTCCAAGTGTCAAGTCTTTGGATATCTCAGTTTCAGTTAATTCCCCTTAGTAACTCAACTCTCCAATGTTTTTTTATTGAACTCAGAACTCTTTGGGTCAAATCACTTTTTGTATCACTCAATCAATGCTTTTATCCACTGAGCGATGTGTCCATCAGTAAATGAAGTTTTGGGACTTATAAATCTAAAGTCTCAGTAATCATTTTTTTTTTTTACCAGAGCTTATATTACAATTTTTTTGTTATTGTTGTTTTTCTCTATCTCTCTCTATTACTGGTTCCTATATTATATTCATGTCTACATTTGGCCAGCTTAGGACATTTTTGTAGCCTAGCATATGTGCTGATTACAATCTACCCCAATGGACTAAATAAAGGATTTGGTTTGAAATTCCAACACGTATCACCTGAAGAAGTCCGGAGCATACAACAACTGAAATGTTGGGGATATGGCAATAAAGATGAAGACAACAGTCTGAACAATGTAAATAGTGTAAATAGTTACAATACCTAATCTCAGAAATATCAACAGATGATAGAAATATTTTTATTATTATTGCCATTTAGTAAATACAGGGTGTCACTAAAAAATTGACACCATTTTGTAGTTTAATTGTGAATATGGATTATCTCCTCTTTGATAATCCAAGCTATAAAAGCTGTACATTTCCGCTTGTCAAGTAGACAAGTAGTAAGATTCTTAATTGAATAAAAGATTACTAGACAGAATCTCTTGTCCTGTTTTCATTACAATTTATTCAATTAAGAATGGAACAATTTATGCGACCGGAGCGATTTACCACAGATCCAGAAAGCGATTCAGCCAACAAGTGCTGGAAACATTGGCGGGAGATATTTACAAATTTCATCAAGGTTCTACATTCAGAAAGACCGGGACATCCCATCAATAAGCATGCGCTCCTAACCAACTACCTGTCTCACACAGTCAACGAAATTATCTCGGATTGCGTTACCTACGAAGAAGCAGTCGATGTACTGAACGCTACATACATAAAGCCCAAAAATGAGATATTTTCTAGACACCTACTTATCAACTCGCCGACAAGAATCAGGCGAAACAGTGGACCATTTCCTTAAGAGCCTTTGGACACTGAGCAAAGATTGCAACTTCTGCCCAATGACAGCATTAGAGGCCCAAGAGCAACACATTTTGGACGCCTTCATTAACGGCTTACGTAATACTCAGATAAGACAACGTCTTCTTGAGAATAAGACCCTTACACTTAGACCAGCTTACGAGCAAGCCTATATCTTTGAAAGTGCTATACAGCAGTCTAGTTCTTATTTACAGCCAGACACAGTGGGTGCCGCGTTAAACCCACCTGTTCCTACTACCCCCCTCATGACGATAGTTCAACGAAGCTTCAAGAACAATCGGTCACTGCTGCTTTAAAAAGGGACACCTGCTATTTTTGCAGCTTATCTAAACACCTACAAGTTTCATGCCCTGCCAGAGATACTCGTTGTCATAAATGTGGAAAACTTGGTCATTTTTCAAAGGTATGCAAGTCTTCTAAAACTCCATACAAAGCCACTCGTCAAAATACATCTGCAACTTTAGCCGCCTCCCCTGACTGCCTTTCAAAAACTATTGTAAAAGTGAAAATTAACGGGAGGTCTACAAATGCTCTGCTCGATACCGGGACCTCAGAAAATTTTATCAAAGAAAGCGTGGTAAAAACCAACAATTTGTATTTTGTCCCCTCCCCCAGGCAGAGTAACAATGGCAAATGCGTCATTGTCTGCACAAGTAAGTGGTTATTGTTTGGTGGACTTACTATTTAATGATGTCTCCTATAAAACCACTAAATTATCAGTAACGAAAAACCTTTGTTGCGAAATAATACTGGGACACAATTTTTTGCAGCAACACTCACAGATTGAAATTCCGTTTGGCGGTTCAATGCCCGCATTGAAAATTTGTGGATTGGCGACAGCAAAAATCCAGTACCCGTCACTTTTCGAAAACCTAACTAAAAACTGCAAACCCATAGCAGTGAGAAGCAGACGTTTTTCTTATAATAATAAAAAATTCATTGACTCTGAGATAAAAAGACTACTCAAGAAGGGTATAATTGAGCCTAGCAAATCACCCTGGAGGGCTCAGGTAGTTATAACCACTTCTAAAAACCATAAAAAGAGAATGGTTATAGATTACTCCCAAACCATAAATAGATTTACTCTTTTGGATGCCTTCCCACTACCCAGGATAGATGAAATGATAGGTGAAATAGCCAAATATCGTATGTTTAGCACTCTGGACTTGAAAAGCGTGTACCATCAGATCGACATTAGACCTAGAGACAAGCTATACACTGCTTTCGAGGCGAACGGTCGACTATATCAATTTCACAGGATTCCTTTTGGCATTATGAATGGGGTAGCCAGCTTCCAAAGGATAGTCGACCAAATCATAACGGATGAGAAACTGGAAGGCACATTTGCATACATCAACAACGTCACAGTATGTGGCCATAATAGAAAGGAACACGACAAAAATCTCAGATGGTTCATGTCCGCCGTCGACAAATACAACCTTACCCTAAACGACAACAAATGCTCGTTTGGACTGGACAAAATAAACCTACTGGGGTATACCATAAGCAAAGGTTTTATGGCACCGGACGCAGATTGATTGAAACCTTTACTCCAGATGCCTGTCCCTCACAACCAGCTTTCACTTCGACGTGCTATGGGCATGTTTGCTCACTACTCCCAATGGATTGCTTCATTCTCAGAAAAGATACATCCATTAACACAAGTAGAGTTATTTCCTCTGTCCTGTCAAGCCATTGAGGCATTTGAGGGACTGAAAAAGGATATTGCGAAATCTGCAATTACAATAGACCAAAATATTCCTCTGGTTGTTGAAACGGATGCATCAGACTGTGCTATTGCTGCTTCTTTGAGACAAACTGATCGTCCTGTAGCCTTTTTTTCACGGACCCTCTCACAGGCTGAACGACGACAACCCGCAATTGAAAAGGAAGCCTACGCTATAGTCGAGGCATTAAGAAAATGGCGACACTACCTGATCAGACGCCACTTTAAACTTATTACTGACCAGAAATCAGTTGCTTTTATGTTCAATTCTAAGACTACAAGTAAAATAAAGAATGGAAAAATAGCAAGGTGGAGAATTGAACTATCTTGTTTCTCCTTTGACGTCAGCTACCGACCTGGCAAGGAGAACTTAACAGCTGATACACTGTCAAGAGTATGCTGTACGGCATCAAGCGGGGATGAACTCCAAACGCTACATAACAATCTCTGTTACCCGGGCATTACTTGAATGATAAATGCTGTGAGGTGTAGAAACTTGCCTTTCTCAGTGGAGGAGGTAAAAAGAATTACAAATTCCTGTCGAACGTGTGCTGAAGTAAAGCCTCTGTTTTATAAACCCAAAACTGGCGTTTTAATAAAAGCAACACAACCGTTTGAAAGACTCAATCTTGATTTTAAAGGACCGCTACCAAGCAAAACAAGGAACCGATATATATTAACGGTTGTCGACGAATATTCACGGTTTCTTTTTGCCTTCCCTTGCTCAGACATATCGGCTGCTGCAATTATACAATGCCTCTGCTCACTATTCGCCATCTTTGGAGCCCCTGCCTATATTTCATTCAGACCCAGGGGCTTCTTTCATGTCAGAGCAGCTTCGACAATTTCTACAGGAACGAAGAGTAGCTATAAGCCGGACAACTCCCTACAACCCTAAGGGTAACGGCCAATGTGAAAGATATAACGGCATTATTTGGAAGACCGTTCAATTGGCTGCCTCAAATAACAGATGAAAGGTTTCTACCTTTTCAGCGACAGAGTTCGACGGGAGCTTCACTTCCATCTTGGCTCTCTCGACCTGGTACTGTGTTTCTGAGGCGACATGCACGTTACACCAAGAATGATCCCTTGGTGGACAAGGTAGAGCTTATAGAGGCGAACCCCCAGTACGCTCTAGTACGACATGCAGATGGTAGAAAGTCTAATGTGTCTCTCAGGGACCTAGCACCGGCCGGAGACGTACCTGGACTGTGGATAGCCCCTGAGGACAGACCAACTACCCCTGACACTGAAGCCCCTCCAGAAGATCATGGCACTGAAATTGCTCCTGACACATCGTCTAATGACACTGTCTCCGTTGAGGCTCTGTCAGACACACACTTCAGATGGGCCAACACCTGAATCCCTGACAGATGAAGGACTAGCACCGAAAAAACGTGTTCATCCAGAGACTGACTGACGTGGAACAGCCTGCTCCTCTGAGAAGGAAACATTTCGGAGTAAGATATTTTAAAGCCCACAGACAGGCTCGCACTGAAGAGCCTCCCTGTTCGAGTACTCCGACCACGAATCATGGACTGCTGAGGCGGCCACTGCGAGCTCGTAGGGAGCCTGGACATTTAAGGGACTTTCTTCCCTATCAGTGAGAAATTTGGTGGGGGAGAATGTCGTGAATATGGATTATCTCCTCTTTGATAATCCAAACTATAAAAGCTGTACATTTCCGCTTGTCAAGTAGATGAGTAGTAAGATTCTTAATTGAATAAAAGATTACTAGACAGAATCTCTTGTCCTGTTTTCATTACACTAATAATATAGCCAATTCTCATTCAAATGATCTCAAATTTTAACAAAATGTATAAAAACTAAGTTGACTGTGCAGACTTATCTCAATGAAAATCTATCAGTAAGATGGATCAGGCCTGCCAGTGATTATGTCAATGTGCTGTTGAAATGGCCACCATGTTCACCTGACTTGACACCTTGTGATTTTTTTTCTATAGGGCTATGTGAAAGGTCAGATCTATATCTCCCCTCTTCCTACAAGCCTAGAGGAACTTAAGCTGAGAATCATTGAGGTGCTGGAAAATGTTATGTAAGTCATGCTACAGTGTGTTTGGCAGGAACTGGGACTATCGACTTGACATGTATCGTGTCACAGGTGGTGCACATATTGAACATTTATGAAGCTGTATGAAATTGGTTATAAAATCTACATCCTTTTTAATATCTTGTGAAAATTTTGATATTTTATTGATCAGCATGAAGGTTATTTAATTTCATTTGCCTGGAACAAGTAGTTACTTAAATATTCCCATTTGAAATTATGTCAATTTTTTAGGACACCTTTTAGTACAATATAAACTAATCATGATAACAGATAAATTACCAATCTAGCATTTGTACTAAAAATGGAATATTGCTGCTATATCTGGGCTTAAACTGTTCAAACCTCATTTTACAGCCTTGATTGTTTATATGTTCTTTTAGGAGATTACTTATATTGCACTCTGCAGCCTCTTTCACACAGATGTAACATCGCAAGCTTACTGATACCCTATCACTATTTCCATGGCAAATGTTCAGATGAGTCCCATTCTTTATTTTCACCCATTCAAACCTTTACAGCTAGGACACATCATACTATGTCCACAGAGTCAAATCACTCACATTTCCTTCATATTCCAATTGTAAAGAAGTTCTGTTCAAACAGCTATCCCCCAACCCCAAGAACTACTTCTTTGCATGCAATGAGTCCTCAATTGTGCAGTAACTGAATCAAGTAAGAACTGTAAAAAGGTTGTTAATGTAATCTTCCATGCAAATCTAATCAGCAGCAAATATATGCAGACAACGCCAGTAATGGCTGCTGTGCCGTAATGAGAATGAGTCCGAACTTTTATTGTCAATAACTCCTAAATGGTAGATTTTATCAAAATTTCTTTGTTATTTTCAAATGTACATTTATATATATAACTATTCGGCAAATTTTTATTACATATTTAGTGCAGGGCTTAAAAAGCAAATTATCCATCAAGGGCCATTCATTATCTATCCTCCTTATTTTCACACACCTCATTCAGTATCTCACTACCTTGAGTGACTTTTAAACCTTGTATTAGCTGTTTCATAAACCTAAATCCATAGGTTCAGATAAATGCCTGTATATTTCCAGTTGCCGTGGATTAACAATGTTAGCACAAGGTCTGTTAAACAAATCTCTGGTAGTGTGAAAAACTTATCTGGTTACTAATCCACATCTTACCTTTTCTATCCAACTGATGTTAAGATAATACACAAGAATGTTCTGCCTTCTCATCGTATTAATTCAATTATTTATCATTTTAAAATGTCAGTGTGGCACTGGCTATGTAGGGGAAACTAGTCCCTAATCAACATGTGCCAGCTAGTATTTGTAAAGGGCAATGCAATAATTTGCATAGGTGTATCAATATATCCAGTTCTGTAATAACTGAACATCTGTTACATAACCATCAGATTTGTTTGTTTTTTTTTAATCAATTAACCCCAAGCAAAGCAATAATGCCACTAAGACACAAAGGGTTATTGGGAATGAAAGAGAATGAGAAGACTTTAGAAAGAACTGGAAACCCAATCCTAAACAGGAAGCAATGGATAAATCTCTACTCCTGTTCAAAAGACCAGAGAGGAGTGTGAACCTAGCTACTTCTACCGAGAAAAAAATAAATAAATGAAAAATAAATAGTATATAAAATTTGAAAGTTTAGGAACCCTAATCCCAATCCTAAACAGGAACAAGAGATAAACCTCTACTCCTGTTCAAAAGATCAGGAAGGGATGTGAACTAGGCAGTAAACAAACCTATCTACTTCTATTGAGGAAAAAAAATTTAAAAAAAAAGAAAAAAGTAAATTAAATGACAGTTTTAGGCAGAGACATTCTCCTCTTTAATTATGTAATTCAAGTTGTACATGCATTTACATCAGTAATTATCTTCACAACTGAAATTTCTATATTTCAATTGGCATCTTTGAATTTTTATTCTAAGACACTAAATGTATTTATGGGTCTATTTTACATGGTGATTTTAGATGTCAATGTAAACGTTTGCTTACTTGAGGAAAAAGTGTGTTGTAGAGTTGCTCAAGGTATGGCTCCAAAATGACACTGTCTTCATAGCAAGCAGCATCTAAAAACATGCATAAGCCCTGTTGAGAAAGTTAAAAAAAATAGTTATTCAAAAAGTTAACAAGTAACATGGTGAATAAAAAAAACTGTTTTTTTCTGTGTATCTTTTTTTTATGTTCCTACATTATTGTGCAAATCATTGAAAATTAAAATAATGATTATCTTATACAATCTTACTTTCATTTTTCTATTTCATTATAACTTTTTTAAACTCCAAATTTCATCAAATAATTTTTTCAAATTTTATAATGATAATTTTTAGAAATCTTTCTGCTAATGTTACATGAATTTTATTTATAATCATTACTGTTTATCAAACCTTGTAAGTACAATATTTGATGGTATATAAAGAATATAAGAATCTCATAAAAAAATGTATATCCCCCCTCATCTCATAGAAAAGTTAAGGTATCTGGTAAGTTAATCTTTGTTGTAGACTACCAGGACTTTTAGTTTACAAGTTTATTCAAGCTCAATAACTGGATGTGTGGATTGTGTAACAGTTACTCGGAAAGAGAAACAAGTCAAATTCAAATTCTAGACCAAGATCACTTTCATACAAATAACCTTAGGAAAGGTACAAATACATCTCTTCTCCCTCCAGCTATAGGTTAAATAACAGAGCTGACCGAGTTCTCTTGCCTTGAGGTAACAACAATATTCAAAATTCTGATGATTTTAGAATAAACCCAACATGCAGACTCATAAACCCTACTAGGTAAAATAACTAAAACAATACTAGAAAGAATTAATTCAGAGCTAAGGGAGAAGTTAAGAGTAAATCAGTGGAAAAACACAAAAAAAACTATAGACTGGTTTCATAACCTAAAAAACAAACATAATTGCCAATTTATACAACTAGATATAAAAGAATTCTCTTCTATAACAAAACCCATGCGAGATAAGGCAAGAACAAATATAAATAAACATAAATGAAATAAAAATCATTAAACACTCCCAAAAATCACAACTATTCAACAATTAAAGATGTATGGATAAAGAAAGAAGGGACCTTTGACATTACAAAAGGGAAGCTTTGATGGTGCAGAGTTGTGCACTTAAAGGTATATATTACTGCATGAACTAAGTAAAATAATCAAGAGAAATATTACAGGATTCTAAAAGGACAATGGTCTTATAATCTGAAGAAACTGTAACAAGTAAAACACAGACAAAACAATCAAAGATTTTCAAAAATATGGGATTTGATATAAAAACTAACCTAAACAAAGATTATCACCTTCAACCTAAGAAAAAGTACATATAAACCATACAGAAAACCCACTATATACACAGATCTTCCAACCACCCGCCATCAATGATCAGATACCACAATCAATTAACCGCAGGCTTTCTAACAATTCTTCCAGTAAAACCATATTCAATGAAGCTAAGAAAGACCATGAAACAGCCCTAAAAGATAGTGAACATATACAACACAAAAAAAGCAACAAGAAGAGAAAGCATATGGTTTAACCCACCACACAACAAAAACATAAAAACAGATGTAGGAAAAATATTCATTAAATGTATACACAAACACTTCCACTCACTCTCCACAAGATATTCAATAAAAACACAGTAAAAAATCAGCTACAGTTGTACCAAGAGCATAACACAAATAATAAAAAAGCACAACAGGAAAACAATTGACAAACCACCTAAACAAATTAAACCCATGTGTAACTGCAGAATACAGAATAAATGTCCCTAAAATGGCAATTGCTTGCAGAACAATGTAATATACCAAGACACTATAAAATCAGAAGATAATGAAGAAAAATTATTCATAGGAGTAGCTGAAAGACTCTGGAACAAAGAAATTATGCATACAAAACATCTTTTACAAATAGTAATTATGCAAACAGCCCAATGCTTTCTAAACACATCTGGGAGATTAAAAACAAAACAGATCACACCAAAAATATCATGGAAAATAAGGAAAAGAATATCAGCTGACAACAATCAATCAAAAATCTAAACTCTGCCTAGAGGAAAAAATAACTATAATTACCTTCTCAGACCAAAACAAATTACTAAATAAATGATCAGAACTCATCTCAAAAGGCAGACACACAAACAAATTTTTACTACATTACTTAAAAATTGAAAACTGAAAATGAACAAGAATAAATGAAAATAAATAAGTAAAATAAATAAATAAACAAGTAAAATAAATTAATCCAAACAAATAAGTAAATGAACTAAATAATTAGTAATAAACTAATTAGCAAACCACACTCACCAAAATCACCGTTAGAATAATGCAATAAATTGCCCACAATGTATCACTGACTTGTATATATAAAAAGTCAGGCAAAAAACACAACACATATGGCTCGACGATTGCACTTAGCATGAAACAGACTGTCACCTCTGGGTATTGACTTCAATGTCCACTTAACAAAAACATGTTGAAATTGAACATTTCATTTTTGAAATTTTAAAAAATTATTTAGTCCCCAGTCACTTACCATTTGCCTGTAGAGGTACCATTGTACACGAAAGCATTGGTGTAGTGATTTCAACATGTTTTTGTTCTAGTATTTAAAAATAATATATTGCTAACTTTGCACTGAGTACTTTTTTAAAAAGTAAATGCTACAAACAGCAGAATTTTACTTCATCTGTTTTCTCTCATTTGTGTGTGTGTGTGTGTGTGTGTGTGTGTGTGTGTATATATATATATATATATATATATATATATATAAATTCAAAGAATGGTGTTAACATACAAAAGGGATACAGACAAGTGATTGTAGCATTCTGACTTCAAGACAAGAAAGAACAAAAATATGGTGACTGAGACATAATCTGTCTTATTGGCTATGAAATCTCAGCATGCATCTGCATGATTTGTCTATAAATTTATGCAGCCATTTCATTAAGGATTGGAACCAACAAGAGATAAATTATTATCTAAAGTACTAACCTGTGTCACATAAAATGACACATGGTGTTTTTTATACAATCCCAGAATTCCATGCAGGAGTTTAGGCAGTTGCTCTTCAAGTTGGTCTCTGTTCATGATGTGTGTCATAGGACCAACGGCTTCAATCACTGCCAGGCGAAGCTGAGAAATAAAAAATGACAATATAATTAGAAAAGACATATATAATTGGAGAATCAAAGCAAAGATATTTGTCCTACCAAGTATTTTATTAATACCAGTATTTATTATTCAATATTATTTCAGATGGAGTGGCTACATGTTTTGTATACTATGCAATGTGTTTTTTTAGTCTTTTTTTTCTTCCATTTTATTGGTGGAGCCAATACAAGGGAGATAACTCGAAGATGGACTGTTCCACGATCAATGAGTGAAATGCCTGACTCCATGGAAGAAGAGAGTATATCTATAATTATTATAAAAAAAATTCATATTTACTGTCATTTTTTGATAGCATGGATAAAATTAATTTTTATAATTAACAATTGCTAACAATATTTTTTTATTCACATGAAAATGAATAGGTAAGTTTTTATCTCAGTCAATTTTCCTTCTCTCTTAATAAATATGCTGCCATTTTTCATTCCAAACCTAGCAGAATATTTTGCCCACTCCTCAAATGAAATTAAGGATATTGAGATTAAGGTATGTCTATTTTTACCCCAGTGTTCATCATGACTGATCTTATTTTTGTTCAGTCTCATGTGTCTGTACACAGGGAAAAAACTGTATTTGTTTCCCTTGTACACATTATGCAGAATAGACTACAAGGGGCAATAGTTTTAAAACCTATTATAACTTCCTATTATAAGGTTATTGCTATAACACACACTCATACTTAGTATAATGTAATTCATTCAAATATAAATAATGCTTAAGTGATTGCTGTAATGCCTAAATAGTTAGTATGAAAACTGACTCTAATACGACCCAATCCTCCCCACAAGAAGAGATGTGGCACAAGGCTGGTTTTTATGTGGGGGGGGGGTTCTGAGCAAAAATTCTTATTAGACTCCACATACCTCCCCAAATAAGACTGTCCATAGGCATAGACTTGTCTGGGTTCCTCTTTGCCAGAAGGCAGAGAGTTTGATAAGCGTTGTGAGTCTAACAGTGAACTGTCTGATGGAGATGTGACTGGTATTTACCAACCTCCCCACAAGGCAGGATGTGACATATGGCTGAGTTTTATGTGGAGCATTTCCAAGCCCGTAGGCTTGGGCAAAAAATCCATGTAGACCCCGCATACATGGGTTTGGGTTTGTCTACCTCCCCAAATGTGAGACTGCCCATAAGCGTAGCCTTGTCTGGGTTCCTCTCTGTTCAAAGGCAGAGAGTTCAAGAAGCGTGTCGAGAGCCTGGCAGTAAACTATCTGATGGAGTTGCAACTACTACTAACCTCATAACATAGAACTTTATAGAATTGGATGAGTTCATAGAGTCACAGGGAGTGTACTCTACTGTACAGCATCCCCCTTTTTAGATTACTACTTTATTAAATAAACATATTTTTCTTATTTTTATTCCATATTCGTATATCTCTCTTCTCTTTCTGGAGAGTTACCCAGTGTACTCTATTTTTGTAGCATTTCCATCATGGATCCATTTCCAGTTCTTTTGTACATTTTCTTTTCCTTGAACTTGTCAGTTCTATGATTTGTTTTGGTACATCAAAAATTTTGTACAGCATTTTAACTAGTTCTTCATGTCTTTCATCAGTTGATCTTTTCTTCAGCTGATTTTGATGCTTTTTCTGTTGGAATTTCTTTTCCTTTCACCATATAGACCAATTTTCCCATTTTAGCTGTTGTTATGCCATCTTCCTAGGTTTCTTTTCCATCCTTATATGCTCTAAAGAATACTTTATTGCCAACCTTGAAATTACTGGGGTCACTTTTATTACCTAGTCGTGATTTTCAACTTGGCAATAACTTGTCGAACACCAATTTTCCCTTCTGGCAAACATTAATTCCACTGGTGACATGCCTGATGGTGTGTTGGAGCTAGTTAAAAAATTTTGAAGTGCCTCATCATTTAATTTGTCCAACTTGCTTTTTTTCAACACTCTTTTGAACATTCCAACTGTTCCACTTGTCTGTTAGAACTTGGTGGGGTAGTAATATGTTCTATAGAGAACAACTTGCAAAAGTCTTGAAATTCTTTTCTAGTGAATTGTGTTCCATTATCCAATATTATGGTATGTGGCATGCTATATCTCACAAACAGTTCATGCAAGAAATTCACTGTCATTGAGGATGTAGGATTTTTGCACTTGTAAATTTCCAGCCATTTCGTAAAACTATCAACTACCACTAGTTAATATACTCCATCCATAGGACCTGCAAAATCTATATGCAATCTTGATCACGGAATGTCTGTCTTTGGCCAAGGTTCTATCTTTGTGATAGATAGTTTAGCTGTTAGAGCACAACTTCTACACGCTTTTACTGTTTTTTCGATATCTTGGTCCATTCCAGTCCAATATACAAAACGTCTCATGTGAGATTTCATTTTTGAAATGCCAGGATATCTGGAATGTAAATCCTTTAATATATATTTCTGTAACACACTCGATATTACAATTCTTTGTCTGTAGATTACAGCACCATTGCATATCAAATATGCATTCAATTCTTGATTCTGTTCTTTTCTAGTTTCTTTTAATTGCTTCTTTATTTTAGAAAGAAAGACATCTTTTACTGCTTTTTGTTTAATTTCATCCAGTGTAACTGGTATTTCTCCCTACTACATTGCACAGAATATTTTTAATTTCCAACTTGATTTTAGCACTGCTATGTATGACTGTGTCTGCCAATGGTTCTGCATTTTTAGGCATTAATCTAGATAATCCATCTGCATGTCCTAATTTTTTAGACAGTTGGTACTCCATCATAAAATTATAATTTAACAGGATGATACCTCAGCACTGTAATCTGATGGCTGTATGGGTAGGTATACCTTTCTTTGAACCATATATTGCTACTAATGGTTTATGGTCTGTTTGCGATGTGAAATTTCTTCCATGAATAAATTTACGGAATTTTTCATAGCAAATATGATTGCTAAAGCTTCTTTCTCTATCTTGCTGTAATTTCTGTCTGCTGGTAGAAGCAAGCATGAATGAAAGTTTTCATTTTGCCACCATTGTATTTGTGTAAAATCACTGCTTCAACACTGTAATCACTAGCATCTAATGCTACTACAATTCTTGCTTTTGGATCATAGTGCACTAAAAATAAATTAGACATAATACATTTTATTTTTTTCAAATGCTTTTTGACATTTATGATCCCAATTCCACTTTGTTTTTTAGTAAATTATTAAGTGGAGCTGTCAAATTATGTATATTATGTACACAAATTTGATAATTAGCCAATCCTAAAAAACATAGTTATGTTTGTTGGTGTAGGCATATTTTTTTTTATTGCATTTGCCCTCAACGAATCTGGTTCCTACCATTTTTATCAATAATTTGACCCAGGTATTTTATTTTTGGCAAAAACAATTCACATTTTTCTTCACTAAGATTGAATCTGTATTCCCTTAGTTTTTGCATAATTGTTTTGACATGCCTAACATGTTCTTTTGACACACTCTTGATCAAAATATCATCTAGATATGCCTTTTCAAAATAGCAATAGTATGGTATCCATGGCTGGTTGAAAAATATCTGGTGCCACCTTTATACCAAAAGGAAGTTGATTAAACTTATATAAACCTGTGTCATTAATTCAGAACATTGATTTTCCATCTGAATTTGTAAATATACTTCAAAGAGATCCAGCTTTGAAAATATTTTTCTACCATACAACTTTGAAAAAATTTCTTCTGGACTTGATAATGGGTAATTGTGTGTTTCAAGACAACTACTTAATCAAGTCAAGAAATTTGCGCAAACATAAATTTTGACATTTTTTTTTTCTTTATATACACCGATGATGCAGCCCATTTCAAAAGGTACATTTTCTGCAATATACCAATCTTTTCTAGTCTGTCCAACTCTTCATTAACTTGTTCTACTGCTGAAAATTGTATGCTCTATTTTGGTTTAAATACTGTTGTCAAACCTTTTTTTACTTGAAAATTCACCTTGATTTTTAAAGACCAACCTAGTTAATTTGGAAAACATTTTTTTAATTCTTCTTTCAGTTTTTCACTTTGACTTTTTAAATTTGTCGCCTGTCCACTTACATTTTTACAATAAGCGTTTATTGGCAAATCCCACAGTTTGAATAGTTCCATCCAGTCCATACTGAATAGATTCATCACATTTCTTAGAACATTTTTTTTGTTTTCACCTGCTTATTTCAAAAATAAATGTTACATAATCTCCCAAAAAATAATTTCTAGCCCGAAATTGAAGTTGCGACTTTGTAAGTTCTTTTTAATAAAGGGTTTCCAATTTCTTTCCATGTGTTTAAACATTTACTATTGAAATGTCACGACCAGTATCTTGTAACATTTTTACTCCTACATTATTGATTTGCACATTAACAAATTTCCTTTTGTTTTGTGTGCCTATTTTTTCTGTCACAATATTGTGTATTAATTTCTTCCTGTGAAAATATTTTCTTGATTTAGTTCTGTAGTGTGATTTGATATGTCCTTTTTTTTTTATCACAGTTATAGCATTCTGCATTTTCCCATGGACAGTCTTTTTCAAGATGTAATTTTCCACATCTGAAACACGGTTTTATATTCCTATTTGTACATTTTTCTTTACCTTTTACCAATGCACATTTTTTTTATTCTGAAGTTTTTCAGAATCATGTTTCAGACTTAGCATTGTTTGGCCATCGTCCACTATTTTCTGTAGTGTTACATTATTATTATGTTCAACCTTGGCTAAAATTTTTGTTAATACATCAGCATATTTTTTACTTGTTAGACCTTGAATGAAAATTAATGCCTTGAATATATCTGGACTCATTTCCTTTAGTTTAAATTGTTCACATTGTCTGTTGACAGTACCAGCATAGGTGACAAAATCTTCATCCTTTTTTTTGGTCAAATTCATGCACCTCCAACAAGCATGGAACAGAGAGCGCTTGTTACTAAAAAATTTTGTCACAATGTGTACTGTGTCTTCAAACCCTATTTCACCTGGAGTAAAATATAATTGCAGTACTTTTCATACTTTATTTTTCTTAACAACCTGTTCTTTATTTTTTATTGTATACCCAGCTGCTGCATTCTTGACTAAATATTTCTTCATGCCTGTGAAAATACACAGCAAAAGTCAGTCCATCATCAGGATTGCATACAAATTCTGATACAGGTGTAAGAGACATTGAAGTATTTTTCTTGAAAATCACTTCCAACAACATTTGTTGTTTTTGCAACTGTCGCAACTGTTAGGTATTTTGTTATTGTTGCTTCTGTTGTTGAATTTCAAGAGCCAAATCAAACCAAAAATAGAATATTGCTGCCATATCTGGACAGGAGCTGCTCAGTCCTCACTTTCCAGTTTTGACAGAGTTCAAAAGTATTTGTGTAGATTTGTGAGTGATAAAATTGTTTTTCACTCTACAACTCCTTCCCTACATTGCTAACCTCTTTCTACTGTGTTGCTGTTTTTGTAGCCAATGTTCAGGCAAACTACATTCCTTTGGTTCCACTAATCCAGAACATGTACTATAATTTATCCTCATTCCCTTCATATTCCATTGATAAAGATGAAGTTCCACTCAGCTTCTTCCCCAAAACTGTTTCATTGTGGAAGAGATTCCTGAATGGTGGGTTCCCTAATTGCTATAATCTTAATCTCTTCAACCATTATCTATCCGATATAGCCTCATGATATGAACTCCCTGTTACATCCTTGTATCAACAACCTCAATCAGTAACCCTCTACCTTGAGTGATTCTTGGGCCTTTATCAGATAAACAATAGTATAAATTAGAAAAAAATAGTTAAAATGGTCCTAAACCAATGAACTTGAAATGGCAGTTTAGCATACTGGAGAAGAGTAAAAAGAAAAGGAATTTGGTCATTATTGATGGAACCATTACTGACCCATCTTACTCATGGAATACCATTGACACCAATATCATCCTTCAGTGGCACCACTGTGGTCAAAACATCTTCATGGATGATGATGCAACTCACATTGTTATCATATTCCTGCAAGAGGTTGGTAACCACAAATAGTGGCTAGCCAAGTCAATACAGCCCAACCCAAGTACATTTGTGGGACTAGTAAAAATGTATTTATACTCAAAATCACCAACCATGTAATCTTTGAGAATTAAGTATTGCTTTGATTGAAGAGTGGGATGTCATACCACAAAACAATGATGTCAGGCAAGGATTGATATCTGTGATGGAAGCACCCATTCCTGAGATTATTTTTTGAAATTTTACTATAAGTTATTAAAACAATGTGAGATGAATCAATAAAGCTTATAATCTGTGACCTTTTTTGTACAAAAAAATATTCATATTCAAATAATGAACGTTTAGGAACAAAAATAAAAAAATAAACCATAAAAATATACTTATAATAATCACACTATCCTTACTTATGATTAGTACAGTTTATTTTAATGCTTTAAAATTATACATTAGTAATATTAGACTATATCCAAGGTACCCTGCAAAGTGTATAGTCATTTGAAAAAGAAATCATAGAAATATGAATTTATGTATAGAATTACAAAGCCTAATTATTTGCCCCTGATTTAGTTATGATTTATGTGGATGTCAAAAGGTAAGAAATGTGTCACATAACAGTCAGGCTAGATAGAGGTGCAAAACAAAAATTGCCTTGTCAGTTGGAGTTAATTCATCAAAACAACTGCACATCTACTCCAGGCATTAGTTTTCTCTCATCATTCATGGCCTAGCTACATCACTTATGCAAAATCCGACCAAGTCAACTATAAAGTAAGACCTGAATTCTCTATTTCATATCTGTTAATCTGTTCATTCTTAAGCTATTGTATCATTGAAGTTCTGTAAAACTGTAGGTAAAGTGTTTCCTTCAAACAATTATACATGTCCTTGTTTGTTTTCACCCATGTAAAATTTTGGGCAATGCTTATGTTGAGATGGTAAGGTAAATTTATCTCCACCAACTTTTCCAATATATGTGTTTACTTACAAACATCATTGTATTAATTCATAAATTATATTCAATGTAATGAGTGTGAGAGAGATAGAAAATATGAAAGTGGAAATTTTATTTTACTCTTTATGCAATCAATGCGTTACCTTAGGTTCTTTGGTTTGCAACCAGACGTTAAAAAGTATATCATAAGCTGCAAATATTTCTCCTGCAAACATGCTCTTGGTAACTGAAGGGTCTGGTGCCTTTTCTATATTGGCCAAATATTCTAAAATGGATTCACTAAATCGTTGTAAGGCTGTAACAAAAAGTAAAGAAAATCAGAATCATTGAAGGAAATTAGTAATTTTAAGTAAATAAAACTAAGTAAATAAACAAGGAAAAAACAAGGAAACAGGAATACAAGAAAAAAATAATGGTAACAATAAAGTACATGTTACATATTGGTGTCTAGTCAAAATTTGATATTTATTCTTTTATTCAAGTGGTCTCCAAATTCAGCAAGTATATACTGTTACTTTAGACCAGTAGTTCCCAAATGGTGTGGCACGCCTCACAGGTGTATCAGAAAAGGATAGCAGGTGAATTGGAATGATTGAAAGACAATCAAAGTTTTAGAAACAGTTTCAAAAAATTCATATACCAAAAATAAATATGATTTCAAAATTTTAAATATTATTATGGATTACTTGTAATTGCATGCATTAGTCCCAGTATAAATAGTTATAAATAATTATTGACCAATTATATCATTGGGATATTTTTGCATTATATCAAGTATTAAGAATATAGTAACTACGGTTCGCAAATTGGAGGAGAGAGTTATCAATGATAATGTTCTAACCTTGAATCCACGGTTATCTACATTTAACCCTCTGTTTTTTTTTTAAATGTAGTTTTTATCACATAAAATTTGGTGAGGTGCCAGCAAATTTTAATTCCAAAAATGTGGCCCAGAGAAAAGTTTGGGAACCACTGCCTTAGACAATACTAATAACTGTAGAGTTGTTCTAGAAACAACAGTTAATTGTAAGAAAAAGAAAATTAAGCCTACTCTTTTAAGTAATAACTCTAACATAATTGTTTTATCTAAAAAAATAGATGAAATGACAGGAAGATTTTGGTAGAATCAAGGAAAAGAGTATTGAATTGCTATGTGATAACAATCTTTCTATACAGCAATGAATACTGGACAATTTGTTCACAGATGAAGAGATTTCAGGCAACAGGGATATAGTTCTACAAAAGGATGCTGAGAATACAATGGACGGGACATGTGAGCTGTTAACTATGCTGACTCTTGTGGTCCTACCAAGGAGTGAACTTGCCATCTTTGGCTAACAAATTTCTGAAGTTATTAGACTCCCACTCCTCAGTTTAATGGATGTGTTCTAAGCAGTGGCAGTAGCAGGCTTGTCTCCCTTTCTGCCAAACTGGATTTAACCTTTAGGCATTATTTAAGTTTACTGAAATTTCTCCTCGGTGAACATTTTTATATTTGTCTGGTGCTGTCACTCAGTTTATTGAGCAAGATCCTGTTTTAACAAGGAAATTTTAAGGAAAATGAAAACAAAAAGGACAGTCGTACTTTGAATCAGAATGAGACAGCTGATATTTCTGGAGGACATAATGAAAACAAAAGGTCTTGGAGAACTTGATATTCACAGATTATATTGAAGGCAAGATGGACAGCAAGAAACACCAAAACACTTATCTGACTCCCACAAGTCATGTAGACTTTACTGGGCAGTATAGGGCCACAGCTCCCAATAACATTGGTCATTGCTATTGTGGTTCCCATAGTGAGTAGGTTTTTATAGGATGAAATTGCTAGCCCCATGCATAACAGGTTGTTCTTTTCCCAAGTTGCTTGCCAAACTATGAGATGATAGAGAATAATGTCATAGCCAGTATAAAAGGATTAAGCAATGTATTATTGGAAAGTAACATAACTACCTGTAAACAAATATGATAGAATAAAAAGCAGTAAGTTATGTTAAAGAAACAAAAAGGAGAAAGGATTATTACAATATACAAAAATCATGTTGTAAAGGTTAAAAAAAAAAAATATTTAAAAAATAGACCTAAATAGTTACCATAGCTGAAGACCCATCTCATGTTGTCATGCTTAGCCATTCCCATCATTGGGAGAAGTGCTCCTAAGATGGCATTGATATGTGGAAGCATCTGAAACACTATAGAAGAATACAAACAAGTAAGACTAAAATTGTTTTCAGTTCAGCATGGAATAAGGTTGTGCTTTTCTTCTAAATGCATTGATTACAGATATTCTTTGGTCTAGAACAGGGGTTGAGTACCCTTGTTTTCTTTACACAGAAAAATTTTCCATTGCCCACTTGTATAGTAAATATTCAAAAGCATACCAAAATTATTTGGTAAAAGTTTGTTACTGGTTTGTAAACTGATTTTATGATATAGTTGGTTGGTTGTTTTTTTGTGGCATATCAACCTCTATGGGTTATTTAATGCCAAAATCTAAATATTCTGTATCATTTTTTTTGTTGAGATAATGGTTTTTGTGATACAAGTCTTACTAATTAACCTATAGCTAGGGGAAGAAGAAGGGATTCATACCTTTGTCAAGTAAATATAACAAACCCAACTGAAATTGGAACTTGGCTCTCTGATTAACAATTCGGAGCCATTATCCATTACACCACCAACACATCTAAGCCTACAGCACCTGGTCACCCATCTAAGTACTGACCAGGTTCAATATTGTTTAGCTTCAGTGATTGTATGAGAACTGGTGTTTCAACATGATATGGCTGTAATCTTTATTTATGATGTTGTAAAAAAATACCAAAGGGAGGTAACAAATAATGCTGACTTATGCAGTGGCAGTTGCTGCGTTTACTATTATATTAAAGAATAAATGAAAGCAAACTTGAACATTGAAAACTATATAATTTAATTTTATGGATTTTAAGGATAGCATTACAAGTGTTGACAAAAAATTAAATAATTTTTGTTCATAAATATAAAATTAAAAAGAATATACACTACTAGTAACAAATAAAAATTCAATGAAAATACTGAAGAACTATTTGAATGTTAATAACCTTCTCAAAACTATAGAAAATACTAAAATATTTCTTGCTTGCAGGGATATATCTTATCTAGGAATGTGACCAAGTTATTCTCACTTAGCCACCTGTTTTTTGTTTCTTTTATACATGTTCTTTGCATATCTTTAAATATTTATTTTAAGGTAGAATAGGTTGAAATACCTTTTTAATACTCAAAAACCTCACTGAAATTTTCAATCTCCCACCCAACAGTTGAAATTGACCACCAGTGGGCAATATTGCCCAGGTTAGGAAAGCCTAATCTGGAATTACAAAGATATAGTTATGCCTGGATGGCAATTATAGACAAAGTACACATCAGCTAGTAGAACCCATCTATTATCTCAAATGCTACAAGCAGATGCAAGAAAGATCTCAGTTTGAGATTTATTTAAATTTTGGGACACGCCAAGAACTTTTTAGGAGCCCCACATAAGTATTCAAGATAGCTAACTGAATTTGCAAATGTTGAGGTATATATTTATATAGTTGATAATTTTGTATGCGAGCATGTATTCCCCAAAAGAAACTTTGATGTTCAGTTCAATAGTAAAACTGCTTTGTCAGTAGAACACTCTTTTAAAGTGTTAATAAACCACAAGAATTTAAAAAATATATTGTTAATTGTTTGTTCATATATAAACTAAGTTACCAAAATTTCATTAAACGAGAGCTTTTTTTTAAGGTAACTTCATCCAAAAACATGAATTTTCATGGTTTTGTAACAACTCCTATATTGGCATAATTAGAGATGAAGCAATGTAAGAAACATTTTCAGTATATTGTGAATTTTGTTTTTAATGAAAATTATGGCTCAGAATAAATTTAAAAAAAGATTTAGAGAAAATACTGTAAGTGACTGAATGCATCAAAAATGTTCTAATCAGTGTCCCATTGTCAGGCAGATCCATTGAAAGTGATGAAATCAAGACATTTCTTCAGAATAATCAACATTATACAATGCAAGAAATAGCCAACAGACTCAAAATATCCAAATCAAACGTCTGCATCAGTTTTGTTATGTTAATTACTTTCATGTGTGGCTTCCACAAAAATTAAGTGAAATAAATAAATACTCATACAAAACTACTGAACCTTATTTTCATGTGTAATACATGACTTATTTACTTCTCATACTGTTATTTTGAAATTTTAAAATCACTTTATACATTATTTTAAACTGTTTAATAATGACTGATGGGTTGGGTTTGTTAATTCAGTTATAAAAATATTCTATTTGGTGTTCAATTACCAGAGAGCATATTTTTATGTTACAAGTAATATTCACTCATCTGAGGCAAAATATTAAATAATTCAATATGCAAATTGTTGCTATTTTAAAAATGTTTGATTTAAATAAAAATTTTAAATATGACTATATTAAATATGCTTAGTTTTCAAATAAATTCCTAACATAAATTTAGTGATACTCCTGATTCTTTTATGTACTTACATACATACATACACATTTTATTTATTATATTATATATATATATATATATATATATATATATATATATATATATATATGTAATGAATGCAAAAAGCTTCAAGGAGTTTTATTTTTTCTTTAAAATAGCTTTTCTATTGTCTTTGCAATCCATACATTTTATAAGCCAGCAAATATGGCATACAGAATCATAAGAAAAATTCATATGTTGATTCTTAATTTCTAACACAAACAATGAACCCTACAATATATATATATATATATATATATATATATATATATATATATATATATATATACACTATTCATTAATACTACTGTTATTCATATAGTTATTATCATTCTTATTATTTTCATCTTATATTGATCCATTCATTTTTTACGGCTTATCAAGCCTTTACAGCTTATTTAAAGCCAGAAAGTATTTTTACATTGTGAGAATTTGGGGGGGGGGTAATAATGATTTACTGATACAAATCCTACTAATTAACATACCTGGGGAAAAGAGACAGATTCAAACTTTTCTTAAGAGTATTTGTATACAAGTGAATGTAACGAACCCAACTGGAATTGAAACTCTGCTCTCTGATTTACAATTCCAAGCCATTACCCAACCCATACATTCAAGTTTGCAGCACCCATCTAGGTACTAACCTGGCTCAACGTTGCTTCACTTTTGTGAGTGTATGAGAACCAGGGTTTCAATGTAATATGGCTGTAAGCCATATCATCCTATAGTCACAGATAAAATTTCCTTTACTTGCATGTTACCCATTTTTATCAAGGTTATTAATATCATTATTATGTTATTATCACCATTATTATTTAATACACTTCTTATATATATGCTCTTATTAACATGTTAATAAGACAAAGTGGAAAAGAGTTTTCAACCATGAACCCCACACTTATAGTTGGCATCCAACTATAAGCAGGGAGGTTGGTTGTTGAAACCAAATGAGGACCAGGCCTGTATGACGGAAAAGGATGTGAAAGAGGAAATAAAAATTTTTATCAGGTGCTATGACCAAAGGATTGGTGATTCTCATATTGAGATCATTAATATCTGCTGGATTTGAAATTTAGTATCAAACACTGATGAAGGCTGCAAGAACAGCTGAAAATTTTGTAATTTCCCAAAAGACTTTACTGTGTTCCTACATGTCTACTAAATAAAAAACAAATTATACAAAAAATATCTTTGTCATCAATATATATATATATATATATATATATATATATATATATATATATATATATATATATATATATATACACACGAGAGTTGTTCAAAAAGTTCTAAGCCTCACCCAGAAGGACTTGGAGAAACAAAACAGATTTTCACTATTTTTCAATATAGTCTCCCTTGATATCAATGCACTTGGTCCAATGATATTTAAGCATTGCAATCCCATCACGGAAGGTGGCATCCTACTCCTCTACAGCACATATGATCATTTCCAAAATGGTGTCCACGTATATGGGATTTGAGTTTAGGAAACAGGAAGAAGTCAGATGGAGCTCAGTCTGGTGTAGCAGTTCAAAGCCAAAGTTGGCTGCTTCAGTTACTACAACAGTGTAAACAGGCATGTTATCCTGGAGAAAGAGCACACTTCTCCTCAGTTTCCCTATGTGTTTTGATTAGATTGCTTCCTTCAGCTGCTTTAAGTCTGATGCATAGTACTATTTATTAATAGTTTTTCCCTTTTCCAGGTAGACTATCATCATTACACCTTCAGAATAAAAAAAAAAACAGAAGCCATCACCTTGCAAACAGGTGTTGCCTGATTAAACTTCTTCAGGGGTGGAGAGCCAGAGTGTTTGCTTTGAATCTTTGATTCAGGTTCAAAGTGGTGAACTTAGGTTTAGGTTTACTAATCTGCAGTGAAAATTCTCAGGGTCAAAAGTGTTCTGAAAATGCAACTGTTTTCAACTTCAGTCTGGTGTCAGCATTCTTGGGACCCATCTTTCAGGCAGATTGCTCATCCCTAAGATTGCATTTAAAAAAGTATGGATGAAACCAGAACTAATGCCTATGGACTTAGCTATCTGCTGGACAGTAAGACATCTGTCATCCAAAATCATATGGTGAATGGCATCAACTTGTTCATTAGTGGTTGAGGTTTTTGGATGACCTGACCGAGGTTCATCTTTGGTGCTGTCCCTGCCCCACTAGAATTCTGCAGCCCACTTCTTCACAGTTGCATATGAAGGAGAGCCCTCAGCAAGTGTCTGTACCATGTCCACATCTCCTTGGGTGTTATACCTTTCTTTTGCAGGTACTTTATGACTGCTTAGGCTTGTTTTGTCTATTTTTAGATTTTTGCACAGCTCTTGCATTTGTATGGGCCTCACCTGCACAGACATTAAGTCAGAAATCTGAATTAGTTTTTCTAGTTTTATAAAAAGTGTTAGTATGTTGCCATAACAAAAATATTCAGCTAGGCCTCTTTTTTGTGGATGAGGTTTAGAACTTTTTGAATGATCCTCGTATGTCTCTCACACACACACACACACACACAAAGCCTTATAGTACATTACATTTATGTTCTATAATATTCAAGTGACAGTTGTCCTGATAAGAATTCCTCTATAATATTAATAGATACTGGTTTCAAAATTTACCATTTGCTGTAGCCATGTCAGCCAATGTTTGTACAATGAAAAAATGTGGCAAGACTCCAGGTTTGAACTTTTGCATCAAAACATCCATCACTTCATTGCAGTAACGAGTTCCTATTGCAACCAAGACCCCACTGGCAGCTGACTGCCAATCTGGAACAACTTCCTAAGAAAACAAAAAAAAATTAATTAAATGTTAAAAACTTGAAACAAAAAAAAAAAAAAAAAAAAAAAGACTAGAAATAATTTAAGAATTTTAAGTCAATTTCATTAAATCCATTCTCATGTCATTTCTGAAGATTCAGATATTTTGTCTTTTTCCAAATTTTTTGCCATCTATTATTTCATTTTGGGGAAAATATTTTTGCTTTATAAATTAAGAGTATGTAAAATTAGAAACATGAAAATGTTTAAAAAATAAATAATACACAACTTGAATTAAAACTCAACTATCTTGCTCTCTAAAAGTAGTTAATATGTAGAAGTTTAAAAAAAAAATACACAGGGCAAACATCCATAATTTACCAAATTTCATTCCTAAGCAAAAATGTGGAATTTAGATATCTGGGAAGTGCATTAACAGAGGACTGGAAGTGTAACATAGAAATTGGAAGGTGCATTGCAATAGCAAAAAATGCCTTCCAAAAAGCTGATTATTAAGAAACAAAAAAATATTGTTAGAAACAAAGAAAAGAAAACTGAACTATTATTTAGTATCAGTCCTTCTATATGCCAGTGAATTCTGGACAATCTCCTCACAGATGAAGAAGAGACTTGAAGCAACAGAAATGTAGTTCAAGAGAAGAATCTAAGAATACCACGGACTAAAAATGTGAGTAAGCCACTAAGCTACAAGAGGAGTTACTGTGTGTTAGAGAATATGAAAAAATTATACTATAAAGGAGAGAGGACAATAAAAGAACAAAAAGACAGAAGATAATAATTTTGAAGATTAAAGTTGACAGAGAAGTAAGAAACCAGAAGAGAGTTCTACAAGCGAGAAGTGCAACAGAAGAAATTGTTAGCATAGGACTTAGGGTTACATCAAGCCATTTCAAATGTAAAATGATGAAACCTTGTTGCCGATCTAGTACTGTGATTAAATTCATAAAGTCTAGGTACCGTAGAGAACAGTGATATTCTATGATAGAATAAGAAAGTTATTCTATGAATTAATTCATGATGTTTTAAAATTTTATAAAGTGCCTATACTTGGGATAATTCATTAAGGGGTTAAAAGTCCTTGCTTACATTACAAAAATAATGTCAGTATTTTTCTATTAATCTTTAATAATGAAGACCTCTTCTCTCACATGTCAAAGTTTGAAGTATAGTAAGGGTAATATCAGCAGTTTCTTTATAAGGAAACATTTGGCATTCATTGACTGAATAGCCAGTACTGCATTTGGTTAAAATTTATAAAATCTTTAACTAAAAGAATTCTGGGGGAAAAATAACCTTTTATTTGACATGGTAGAATAAAACTATATGATATATGAATTGACACAGGGTAGTTACATAGATAATAAAAAAAAATGTCTACTTGAAAATAAATGACAAATACAAAGTTTTTGTGGCTAAAAAAAGTTGATTTAAAAAGATTCTTGCAGATGTGTTAGGATGAGAGACTTACCTTGGAACTAGTGAGCTCTTTAGAAGCCTGATCAATAATATCAACTGCTAGTCTCATGTCCAAGTCTTTAAGTGTTTCTTTAAGGATTCGTTCTATGCTGTTCAAAATGGCAATCCTGTGTGTTACAGGAAGCTGTAGAAAAGAAGATTTATGCCAAATAAACCAAGATGCTCATATTTATTAATATTTTTAATTAATTAATCTTTCAAACCCAGGAAGTGACAATTGAAAATTCAAGCAAGCATTAAACATAGAACATTATGAGGATGAGGCAATGACATGTAGAAATGTATACTTTTTCACTTATGTACTTTTTAAAATGCCATATTTTCTTGTGTTAGATTCTCAGTTTCATTTTTTATTTTTTTTAATAATACTCCAAACATTCAAATTGTCTCTAAGATATTTTGAGCTACGAGGGAGGTGCTTCTGACCAAATGTGTGGGTGATGACCCCAATGCTCAGATGCAAGTAGGTACTAACAAAATACTAAGATCATATGGCATTCTAATTAAAATTAGAATTCAGATTGTTTGGTGATATTTAAAAACAAAATAGAATTTATATGATTTATACTTTTTCCAAAGACTCACACAAAATATAATTAGCAACAACAACTAGGTCATATTTCAATAAATTAACTAATTAAATAATTTGACTAGGTGTTAAACTTGAGTCTTGTTTCATCAAAGGATCAGAAAAAAAAATTTAGGGCAAGACAGACTTCAAAACCAGTTAGCACATTTTAATCTAGAAAAGAGAAAAAAGTAACATTTTTTATTGCTGCATTGCTATAGCATTGTTGTCTGGCTGTGCTGGCCCATTTTGGGAAAAATATGAAACTGCCATTTACTGGAAATAAATGACCATAAAGACTGAGAGCAATTCCTCATGGGCACAACCATTTTGGTTTAAATTGGATACTCAGCAGGTAGAGGTGCAGTGGAGTAATGGATAGCAGCTCAGATGGAGAAATCAGAGAGTAGAGTTTAAATTCCGATCAAGTTCATTGAATTCACTTATGAGCTGATACATTTGGGAAAGGTATGACCTCATCTCTTCCTCCTCAGCTATGGCAAGACAGACTGGGCCCTATAGCCTTGGTTGACAACCAGTCTAGGAGAATTCAAACCACCTGCTACCTTGTAGCTCTTGCCGCTCTAACTTCTGATAGGATGGACGGTAACTTCAACATCCTCAGCATAAAATGGACTAGCAAGCCATTGCATTATTTTGTCTTAAATGTCACCACAAACCATAACAGATCTTGTTTCATGTTACTATATATCTATGCTGGTTTGGAAATAGTGCTAGTTAGATTATAATACAAGCACTAGGGACTGACATTCCATGTTATCTTAAAAACACATATGTGCATGAACAGCATGCATTGTAAATTTTGTAAAGACAAGAACATCTACAGTAGCAGAGGTTTTAATTGAAGGTTTCCCAAGCTATTTATTTGAAACGTAGCGTTCTTTTCAAACCGTTTGTCAAACAAAATGGTGTAATTGATTTGTTTTTATGGCTTACCAAACCTTTGTGGGTTATTTGAAGCTGAAAAACCTTTTCGATTCTAAGAATAAATCTTTGTATTTTTTTTTTATTGCATTAACAATTTTTTGGAGATGATTTTTCCAGATACAAGTCCTACTGTTTAACCCACAAATAAGAGATTGATACCTTGGAAAAGGTATAAATCTATGTAATGAACTTGACTGGAAATTGAACATTTTTCTCCAATTTTTCATTCTGAGTTGCTAACCATTACACCACAAAATGGTGCAAAACAAAGAAAAAATTACTATTAATTTATATGAAAAAAAAAAAAAAAATGAGCATTCCCAGACTGACAAAACAAGCCTATGTGAAGTTTTTAATACAATCAACAGTAATTTGTTATAATAATTACTTCCTTGTTTCACATCATTTTAGATCGTTTGTACTAATGTAGGATTTTAAAAGCAAAATAAAAGGGAAATTTTGAAATGTAGAGTTTACCTGTATGAAGAAGAAAAAAAAAAAAAGGCTTACCTTTGAGTTTTTCTTCAGGTAATAGTAGCAGGAGCTGAGCACCAAATCAGATTTCTTTTTGCCCAGCTCAACCAAAGAATCTCGAATAAGTCCTTCAGCCTGGTCATCTTTATCACAAAGAGAATCTATAAGGGCTAACACTAAATCTGAAAATTTAAAAACAAAATATTAAGTTCTAATATATCTTCTAAAGACCAATAACATTCAAGTTTTAACCTAAACCCCACCCTCAGTCTTTTTTTTTTAGATCAAAACCTTTTTCTGATTAGTATTCATTGAACCCCACTTCATTACTTTCAGTAAGATGATATGTAAATAGTTTGGCTCAAAATTTCAGAGAATTTTACTAAGTATGATGACAAATGTCTGATGAAGGCCAAAGGGTACAACAGCTGAAATATGGCGATTATAGTATGCTGGTCTGAATAGAAAGGCATGTAATATTTTTGTTCAAAAACACTGTCCATTGGAAGATTGAAAACAATGAAGTAACTGAAAAATATATATTACAGGCCATCATCCCAGGACACAGAATATAAAAAAAAAAAAAAAAAAAAAAAAAAACAAAAAAAAAAACAAAAAAAAAAAACAAACAAAAAAAAACAGTTAGGGATCTAGGGATAGTAGTACATTGTTAGTCTCTAGAGGAGAAACCAATCAACTGAAAAGTTCCAACAATTGGCATCAACTTGTCTGGAATTTGGAACAGACAAGAATATTAACAGCAACCAGAATTCAAAACAGATAGGTAATCGTATTTACCTATTATCCTGGAGGATGCTGGGAGTATAATGCTACACATGCCAGTTTGGCTTTGATTTGATTTATTCAAGTATTACATTTTGAGTGTATCCAAATGAGTGCACCCCCCCCATACACACACACAAAATGAGTCAGTAAAGTTCTTTGTGTGATTAAAAAAATATTATCCTTCGTTTGGTCAAATGTTGAGAAATAGGATGAAAATGTGTGCGTACAGACACAAATGAAGATAAAAGGAAAACTTATCTTAGCCAACAAGTTTCATCCTCTGATGGGCTTTATCAAGGCAAATATGAGGATTTTTATTTTGCAACAAGTATTTATAAAGAAAAGATCTTTCAGTGAATCTATGAATATTTATAAATGTCTCTTAAATTTTAGAAATTTTGAAAAACTTTTTTTACTTTTGTAATCTTTTACAGATACACTGTGGCTATATCTTACATTTTTTTTTTTATATCATATATAAATATATATATATATATATATATGAAAATTTCTCTGATTTAACCAGTAGATAAGGCAATATTTATGAATAAAAATGACAATAGGAAAACTAGTAATTGCTGACGCATTTTGTCCAATGTGGACTTTATCAAAGCAAAATATGAAATGAATTTAATTGAAGCTAATAAAAACAAAAACAGAATGTTCCTAGCAACTGGAATGTAGAGAAATGCTATTTTCGTATTGTTAACTGAAAATAACGTCAGTATTTGTCACGTGTGGAGAATATCGTCATTATATCTGTGATGATGTATTTAACCATTTTCTTTTATTCATAAAATCAAATCCTTTTGAATTCAAGTTTATTAGATTTATTTAGTCTTTTTTTATTCATGGTTTGGCTGTTGAGAGCATAGTAAGAATTTGTTTTTGTGTCTGCATTTGAAAATGAACTCTGATCTTTTGTTTAAGAATTTATCTTGTTCTGGAAAGATCACACACACACACACACACGTATGTGGAGATGATAAGGTAAAGTGGAAAAGCTTATAAACAATGTATTTCAGTGATGTCTCTTGGATAACAAACAGCTTTAATATATATTCATATATAAAAAAAAAAACTAAAAAAAAAAAAAACACTTTCTGGTTTCAGGTTCTGATACAGTAATTTAATTTATTGTCCCCCTTACCCTCAAAAATCTCAATACATTTTCTTTATACACAGTTTTGTCATTCATTCAAATGTGAAGAAACAAACCCAACAGACATTGACAAAATGTGTCATTTATAAGCATGGCCGGTGTGTACTACCCTCCAACTCCATGTTCAGGGGACAAGTCTGATTGGGGAAGTGGGAGTAGTTGTGTGACCCTCACTATCTTATCAACATTTGCTTTTTTCTACGTATTTACACATATACATTACAAATTAAACTTGCAAATTGTTTTGCTCATGCTAAATCTCAACAAAAAGAAAAAAAAAATTTATATAATATTCACTATTTTTATCCATACTGTTAAATTATTCAGTGTTATTCATGTTTTAAATTATTCAATGTTTTAACCTGAAAAATGTCAAGTTGATGTTAAAAATCGACACAAAACATTATTCATTTCTATAAAATCGAATGATTTATGACATGTCTCTAATTTGTATTTAGATACATTGTATTTAATTTTCAATTATTCTAATTGAATAGTTCACCTATATTGCATATGATATTACTGCACATAATTAGCTTACAATAAAAATTTGTATGAATACTACCTTATGAAAATTGAGATGCAGTAGAGTGAAAGAGCCTGTATCATAGATTAGAAGGAGTACTAGACACCTGCACCAGCCCTGTCTTTTCTAGTCTCATCATTTTCTTTTTGGATACTATTATATATCCTACAATCTTGTACACATATATATATATATATATATATATATA